TCAAAATTAAACAAGGACTGAGTTATTCAGTTTTTGAAAAAGCTAGCTATTTTACAAAATTTCAAAATTTTTACCCTCAGAAAAAGATTTTCAAAACTTAAAACTTTTTGTTTCTCATCTCGGTGTCCTCTATGCAACCATGCATAAATATATCAGAAAGATAAAGTTGCTGGAACTTCGAATTACGGATGCCTTACGTTTCATACTACAAGTCATAAATTCATTGCAATTATTTATTGTTTACTTGGAAAAAGAAATCATTATTTTTATTGTGAAGTTTCATCTTTGAGATGTACAATGGATGTGAAAAAATGAATGACTGACATTAGAGACAAATGCTGACTGGATTCACTCATTAGTGAACTGATATACTTTTTTTATACCTAAGAAATAATGTGTTAATCAAAAAAAGTTCAGTTGAGGAAAAAATGAGAATAAATGATGCACTTTTTTATGCTGATTGATCCAAAAGAACATCAGACTTATCTTATGGTTAATTTACTCATGTCGCTTACGAATATGGTAAGGCCCCCCTCAGAAATTATCTCCGACACCGTACATCTGATCTTGACGAAACTTTCCATAAATGTTGGGCACAATGAGTTACCGAAATGAAAAACATTTTTTGTCCCCAAGTCTTACGGTTTAGGAGTTTTCCAGAGATCAAGGTCCAAAAAGGAACCTAAAGTGTGTTCCAAGATTTTTTAATATACTTCAAGCTGGACAGTTCGGATTTGTTTTATTTTAAAACTACATGAACTGACTGACGTCGATTTTTCAATTAAGCCTTTACTGGTTTTCCAGGCAACCAACAACCTCCAAAATCCGAAAAGACCTTCCGGGTTTCCCAAAAATCCTCAATTTGACAAAAAACTAGGACCTAATTCAAAAATCGGCGCTTGTCAGTTCATGTAGTTTCTTTTCCTCCTTTAAATAGAAAAAGAATAAACTCTCTACGACAAACCGCTATTAAAAATCTTGGGAAACACTTCAGGTATAACTTCCATGTAGAGAAAACGTTGTATAAAATGCTCAGTTTTAGGATTTCTAGAAAAATGCCTATAACTTTTTGGTACAAGGTCATTCAGATTTGTGCGAGGTCTTATTTTAGTCAGAAAAGTTTGCTCTAGAAACCTGTGTGTTCAGAAAAATTTTAATTGTGTAAGTATCTAGGAAAGAACTATTATTTGAAGAGCCGCTTTTTCGAGACTTCTAGAAAACTTGTTCAAAATGCGCGAAAAAACACTTTCATAACCAAAAGCGATACAGATTCTGAAAGTCGACATTTCAGGCTATCTTTCCATGTAAGTATCTCAAAACAGGTTTTTTGACCAAAAATCTGTTTTGAGATACTTACATGGAAAGCTGTGCCGTGTGAGGTTTGTGGAGATGGCTTTTTCATGCTGTTAAAGCCCAATAAAAGCCAAAAAAAGAAACTCTTTTCGATTTTTTCGATCTTTTTTTGGCTGTGAAAACATCCAGATGTCATGGGCTCATTGCATTTCTCAATTAATAGAGCTAGAGGTATTAAAGTGACAAAATGTTTAGGGATTTGTTTATTAGATTTTAATTTCTAATAAAAGATAAATCATTTTATTTACGATGTACTCGCTGATGTCATTTTCCAAAAAAAGAAAAGCTAAGAAATGAATGACGTTGTCTTTTTAAACATTATTTTAAAGTGAAACTAGTTAAATGTACGTTTCAATCAGTATTTCTAAATTGTGAAACTGTTCCTAGTGTTAATGGGCTATATGACAGATAAAAAGTTTGTAATAAGACGATTGCAATTTTTCATACACGAAAAATGGTGACATGGTGCCAAGCTTAGGTACCAAGCTTTAGAAATTCGATATTGGCAATAATGGCAATATACACCTTAGCTGAATCCCAAACAACTTTTTTGACTTATTCATCGTGTCGCAGGAAGAGTTTGATAGAGGAGTTTCACATTTAGACCATTAGCTCAAATGGATGCAGCAGAATAAATGATGGTCTCAATAACAAAATTCAGTTTTTTTTCCTTTTACGTGTTCTCATGTTGACATACAAAATAATCAAATGAGGCACTTTGTAGAGCTTGAGAAGCTCTATCTTCCTATGCTATTGAAAATTTTAAAAAAAAAACAAATCCTAATGCACACAAAATAAACTTTAATTTTTTCATGTTTTCCAAAAAACACACGTTTTTAAAACCTTGTTTTCTCTGCTCTCGAAAACTTCATGTAACTCAGACAAAAATTACTCTTCTGAGATAATTTTTGTTTTATTTGTAAGCTGATGATCCATACTATGAATGTAGACTTTCGTTTCGAACAAATGTTATTTTCTATTCACCATGTTCAACCGCAAGGAAAACATACAAAATATGCGTGTGTGAAACTGTAAAGATTTGGGGCATTTGGTGCAACTGCGAGAAAATGGCCTTTTATATTATGTAGTATAGTACTTTCTGCATGTGGTTATTTTACAGTTCTCCGTTCTACCCTCTGAGCTATCACGGGATATCATCTTCTAAATTTTATGCTCTTGTCACTTTTATTATTAACAAAACGTCACATTGGAATGTTGAGTTAACTACAAATTAGTGATGTGGCACTTTTAAGTGAAACAGCAGCTTACACAGTGAGCATTTTTTCGTAGAGCAGGCGGACATCTGCTTTTATGAGTTAAAAAATAATTATTTTCGCATAATATAGTCTTATTATGCGTCAGATGTTAATAGAAGTAAAAAAAAGTCGAATTCGAAAAAAAATCTTTATTCGATAAAAAATGCCTTTTGGTGAACCCTTGACCTGTATTTTCGTTAAAAAATGTTTTCTTTGTAAAACTAACAACTTATATATCGATGCAGTTTTTCACACTAATTCCGAATATAACCTTATTTTCGAATACAAGTGATTCTATATTGCAAAATACCTCAAAATCCAAGGGCTTTTTGAAAATTCATAACTTGAGTTTCTCAAATATGGGCATTTTTTGACATTCAGAATAAATATAGGACGTGTAGACGAACATTTTTAGGTAATTTTAAGTACGCTAGAAACGTAGTGGAGTGTAGCGATCTCACTGCAATTCAGATACCTTTTCGGAAATAAACTTAATTCGAAAAACTATTTATTATTTCTGAAATTTTTTGGGCAGAGACATGCGCTTTTCAAAGATCGACATAGTATTAATACAAAGCCCTGACTCGCGCGCATTTTCTGGCATAAGGCCCACGTTGGTTCTTCTTTTCCTTAATTTTTTACAGAAGCTTTTCTAACGCTTGCTAAATCCAAGATTTGCCTTTTTTTCGAAAATCATTTTTTCTAGCATCCGTTAGGATGAGAATTTTTCTTTTACACATAAATTAAAGCCATTCCATTGATGAACAAAATTCATAAATAAAAATAAAAAACCAGGATCCTTTCTTTAATTGATCTGGTGATCAAAAGTCACTTTTTTGGCAATCAAAACACATTTTTCCCTTGACAAGAAGTCACTTTTTCGAAGAGAATGTTAAGAAAGCGAAAAATAATCTTTCTGCACTAGCCGGGAATCGAACCCGGGTCGCCCGCGTGGCAGGCGAGCATTCTACCACTGAACCACCAGTGCAGTACTTGACTTTTCTCTTTTTCAATTTATTTTAAATTTAAGAAGTCAAACAGATCGTATTGTCCTAACGATCTGTTTTTGTTGATTTCCATTTTTGGTGAAAAGCTCAGCAAGTTTTCAGCGTGAAAATTCTAAAAGAATCAATATAGTCGAATAGACTAACAAAGTGCATCATTCGATTTAGTTTGCGATGCTGAGTCCAAATAGGATATTTTTATTACATAGACGTAGAGTTCTGAATAATAAAGTTCACAATTACGGACAGAATTTCGATTTTTGCGCTCCTGATTTAGAAAATATAAACCAGCGGAGCAGAACTTGATTGAATCAAAATGAAATAGAGTAGGTAGTTGACTATGAGGAATCAGAAAACGCATGTGAGCGACCTCAAGGATTGGTTCTATTGGTCGAAATGTCTATCTCAACGAGGTTCGATGAAAATGATGTGCAATAGGTTTTCGATTATGGGGAATCAGAAAATCAGTATGAGCGACCTCTAGGATCGATTCTACTGGTCGAAATGTTAATCTGAAAATGGTCATTGGCCCATAGTCGAATGCCTATCCCACATCATTTTCATCCAACCTCGTTGAGAGAAACATTTTGACCAATAGAATCAATTCTAGAGATCGCTCATAGCTTTTTCTAATTTCCACAGTTGAATACCTATTGTATACAAAGGTTAATAATCTTCTCTGTACCACTGCACCACCACAGGAACACATACCTAAAAATATGTATTTTTTGTTCTGTACTGGTTAGTTAGTTAAATGAACTTAAAAGGTTTGATTACATAATGTAAATAGGATTATTCACCATGAAAGAAGTATTTTTCATAGTTGAATACTGAGACAATAATACAGAAAATTCAGTTTCCAATACTTTTTTCTTTAGACACAATGTTTGGAAATGTGTCTTTCATACTGAAAAATAAAAAATAAAAATGAAAATCGCGTTTTCATCATAAAGGAAGCTTTTCCTAAATTTGTGTCAAGAGGAAAAAATGTTGAAAATTAAGTTTTACATAGTATTGCTTCTAGGTTCAACTGTGAGAAATGTTACCTTAAGTGCACGAGAGAATTTAGTCGAACGAGACGGAACGATGGTTCTTTCACACATGGTTATGCCAGATTAATTTGAAAGTTTAGAAGAAAGAAATCATTGCTTAACTAAAATATCATCGAGCAACTCGTTTCCCATAGCGGACAGTGTTTGACGATTTACAGCACTTCGGTCCTCCTTTGTGCACACAAACATAATCTTGACAAGTTGGTGTATGACCTCGTGTACATCGACTTGCGTAGCGTTGCAGATAAGCAAGTATACACGTCTCCGAGGAACTATGGTCAGAACTTGTTTCTATTCTTAAACAAGAAGAAATAGAGAGAAAGTTACCGTCACACTCAAGATGATGATCGAAGATTCTCAATCAGACAGGCAGGCCGATGACGATTGTCATATGCTTCCATTTCTTCCAAATGTTCATAGGCCAAATCAACTAGTCTATCGATACTTGCATCTCCAATATCGTCGAGTTCAATATGAGTTTCGAGCCATAGTTGCCAGCGATAATAATTGTCATCAAGAATGCCACTTAGATGGAGATCTGTATTATTCTGAGGACCATCCATCAGTATTTTAATTACAGATTGATGATTTCGAGCCCAGAAAAGCAGATTCCGACTGGCGTGAGGATGGAGTAGACGGGAGACATAATTAGAGGTGTTAATTTAGTGTTACTTTGGAAAATAAATGTAAATGAATCATTTATACTTAAAAAATAAAGATAAATTCGTCATTTATATTTAAAAAATAATATAAATAAATAAAAAATCATTTACTTTTATAAAATAAAGATAAATGGATCATTTACTTTTATCCATTATTATAAATGAACAGTAAAACTAAATTAACACCCTTAGACATAATCACTAGTACCCAATGATAGAAGCCGTATACGATTTCTGTCACAATTTGGATACAAATTTAGAGTATGATTGTAAGCGATCATTGCTGGATTATTTGTCTGTACATCAACATAAACACTATTTTTGAGTCGGTAGCCGGGAAAATAAGTGGGTGCAGCCGTGGTACACATAAGTATATCTGTGAGAAGATAATCCTTTGTCGAATTTCATTGGTTGGCTTGTCGTGTGAATATATCAGTGACGTTGCCCTCGCTTTTCACTACCGGTATGACGAGCTCACTAATGGCATTCGATAGTTTTGAAATGCCGAAGTACTCATCGAACAACGTTTGGCGACCTTCATCCAAGTATTTGGGAACTTTCAGCACAGAAAAAAAGCGGCTAACAAAGCTTGGATTTCTTGAGAATACTTTATCGGCTTTTGTGCGGTAAAGCTGAACTAGATCAAATGTCTGATAACGAGGTTTCAACGGATCATCCGACGAAGGCGTCGTTAGTCCCACACTAATGATTGCACCTGTCGACGTACCAGCTACAACATGAAATATCGATGAGATTGGCTGTCGGATCTTACGTTCGAGTTCCATTAGCCAAATTGCCGGAATCATGCCTCGAATACCATCACCATCAATGGATAAGATGTTATACCATGGCCGTTGTTCATCGAGATTTAACGAGCGAGAGTTCAAATTCAAAGCTTCGTTTACTGGTATTCGTTCGTATTTCATTTTGATTGTTTTTTCTTCTCTTCGAACGTCGACATTGACGGGCTCCAATTCAATAGCTTTTTGAATCCAAAACTTTGCAGTATTATAATCACCAAAATGTCGTTGTACTTGTGCATAAATTAACAATTAGAGTATGATACAAATAGCGGCAGTTTCACAAGTTCAGGGTTAAGTATGGCGATAGAAGACTTCTAATCAAAAATAACTCATCGTCCACATTCGAAGTCAGTTTTAAAAAAAGAAACCAGTCTTACTAGGCAATAAGGTATACTCTGGATAGTTATGATTATGTGTGAGATACTGTTCATTTCCGAAGCATCTAGTTACTCTGCTTACCATATGCTGAACATTAGGTATTTATTTTTATTCTACCTAAAGTGACTGAAAACATTAAGTTCTATTGTTTTTTGCAGACAAAATACTGAACAAGGGAGAAAAGTAGCCTCGGGTTTCAACTATGGGCTTTCAGAATCCGTTAAATCCGTTGACTTCCTAAGTGAAAAATCTTTTGAAGCTCCAAAAAGTTCATGTAATTGTAGGGACTTACGAAGACTTAATTGGATTATTAGATTTTTGAAGACTCTAGTAGACTGGAACAGTTCAATAAACTTTAGAAATCTATGAGTCCTCTGGCCTTTTATAGAGTTTACAAAATTATTCACTAGTGGAAGTTCCTAAATGCAGGAGAGAAAGAGCTTGAGACACTTTTTGAGCTAGAAACTTGGATGTTTCTTACCGTATGATAACGCTGCAAGACACGCAGGCTACTAAAACTCACTATCTTAAATAACTTAGTACTGTGATTATTATTATTGCAAATCTTATATATAACAGACAATTATTAGTTCTGTTAATCTCAAAAAGCTTCCATAAAATTCATGCTCATTAATAACCAGAATCCTTCTCGGCAGATGTCGAGATTTAATTATCAAATAAAGACTCAAACAACAACCACTTCTATGTCTAAGAAAGTGAACATAGTTATTGTTTGTATCGATTAGTGTAGTCAAAGTCTATTTTGTGCATCTGTCATTAATCATGATCGCAAAATCCTCCTTGTCCTCCCTGCGTATAATCATAACCATGTAAATCATACTTATTGGCCAACGGACTCTTGAAGAATGACTGTGGATTCTGTACTTTATTCAACAATTCGACATTTTTCCCAAATATTCCATGGATAAACACGCTCACAAGGGTTCCTTCGTCCTGTTTCATTTCATTAAAGTCACAATTTTGGTCACATGATTTACAAATAAATTTAGATGCTGAAGCAATACACATATTGCATGCTTAGAAGACTACAGTATACTACTTAATAGCATTGAAGCATTAGAGAAACTTTCGTGAACGTTACCTTGAATCACGTAATGAATGAATATTCCATTTCATGTGGAATGCCATCTAAATTATCAGCATGGCCATACGTTGTAAAGTTGACTAGCCATGTTGGCCCATACAGCGAGTAATACCATCGATCATTGCTCATATTACTTGGAGCACATGGTGGTCCATCGGGAATAACTGAAACGTTATCTAATCCAGCACTAATAATTAATGTTGGCAAACGAAATGGTAATGGATTTGGAGGATCTGAAAAGATACTATAGGTTTTTCGAGAAATATGTGCAAGAAAGCTGATCATTACTAACGAGTTATAAAGTCTTGTGCATGACCAAATGGATCTATACCATCGACAGGATTCATCATCACTATCACTTTAACTGGACCACAAGTTGAGTTTAAATATTGTCCGAGCGGATGACCGGCTGACGAGTGAGTTAAAAATGCAAGGCGCTCAACGTCTGGTATTACGTCTTTCACTTTCTTATGATCAAGAAAGAGCTTTTTAGCACCATCGGGTGTTACGACCCAATTGAGAAAATCTTGGATATGTTGAGCAACTTCTTCTGGTTTAACACTTTCAATTTTACTTATGCCAATAATGATGAGATTTTGTTCGGTGATTGTTGTCATCAGTGTGGTGTAATATGTGGCACTCACGACACCTGAAAAACCCGGAAGATAGATGATAACAGGATAAGGGCCTGGCGTGGTTGGTGAATAAATATCTAACGCAAATTGTTTACTGAATATAACATTGCCCACTGACCAATGTTCTATCGATGATGCTCCAAGGCCAGATGATGGGAACATAAATAACACAAGTGTAATAATTATTAGATGCATAATGAATAACTTAGCTGAAATTATGTAGATAGAGTTAAATACGATCGAACGCGCAAATAGAGGTTCTTTACATATGTATAAATCGACCTTAGATTTTCAAGTTTTTTATAATTTCAAGTTCGATTCATAGAAGACTTTAACACAGAAGTTCAAGATATAATACTAGTCAGTTATACTTATTTATTCTATTTATTAAAATTTGATCTTTGTATTTGAGATAGAATTAGAACAAAAAATAACGTGACCAGTATATTGGTGTTGCGTAATCGATGAAGTACATGAGAACTAATTCAAGTAAACATCTGGAGAAGCTTTTCTTTTTGAGAGTGTATAGATAAAAACATTTTACTTGATTATTGATAGAAATAACACTACTATGCGTATCAAGGCTCTACTGATGCCAAGAAATGACATAGCTTCATTCTT